CTATTTAATTCCGCTAACACGATAATTAAACGCGTGAAATTGAACACAAAAAAGGTGGTAACTCTCGTACTTGATAAAAAATAGAGTACATTAGCGTACATGTTTTTAATATATTTTTATAACGTTATGCTTCAGTTGTGTTGGTAATACTGTTAGGAGTGTTAGAACCTCGTCAAATATTCAGAAGGCGTTGTAATTCTTTCAGAAGTCCTTATGGAAGATTTAAAACCAACGCCGTCGTACTGAATGTTTTTTTTTTCAAACGTCCTTGATTTTTCAGCTGGGCGATATACTTCTGTTTTAGTTTAACCTGGAGGAAGACCTACATCATTATATTCACTTAATCCCACCATTGAAATATACACCGAGCCAAATGAATGAAATCTTAGACCCTCCCAAAGGATGAGCTCTCAAGTCCTTGGTTCTTTGAGGCAGTATTATTTCTTACGTTTCAATATGCTACCACCTATTATATTCACAAACTGGAGACGACCCTTTGTCCACTATCCTGAACTGCTGAATAAAAATGCCAGGGCGTTAAGCTGGCTATTTAACATCTAAAACGCCGGGGTTTAGATGAATTTGACAATGCTTAAATTAATATACTTACTAGAGCAAAACGCTCGTTTCGGAGCTCTTCTGTTCTTGTTGAATACGTTTTTCTACGTGTGTTGTTAATATGTTCTGGTTTATCAATGTAAGTCATCCTTCGCTTTTCTTTATTTGTTAAATAGTTCTGATGTTTTAGTTCTTTACGTCGCTGTTGAGAGGCCAAGTGTTCTTGGTCAGTCAACTTTTTACGTCCAGCCACACCCTTGCAAATCTTCGTATTAAAATCGATCATAAAGTCATTTTTCGTAATAGTTTTTGTAATCTAATATATCGAATGAGTAGTATTATTAGTATCAGTTTAACTTGTTGGTGTTGGTACTTCAAATAGTTGATAACGTCTCCTTTCACTTTTCTTCATTCAGTCAAATCTTCATTTTCAAGAATACGATGTGATGCTTCTGGGGCAGTGATCATGCGACTGTCTTGGTAGTTGGTGATCTCGTCGTGAAGCGTTATTTGATTGATGACGTCATTTTGGACGACAAATTTCTTTGATAATTGTTTGGCGACGACGACAAATCACGTATTTTAGTATAAAGAAGAAGATTATAAAGTTAAGATGAAATTCTAATGTTACTTATTCAGTTTAATTAGTAGTTTAAATCCTTAATGACGAAGATCGTTAAAATGTATGCCTGTCTTTTTGGTTTTTGCGCCGTGTATTCTGGTAGACGTTTACCGACGTTTCAGAGGTCCTTGCTTCCTCCATCATCAGGGCGTCCTGATGACGATAGAGATGTGTATTATGAATTTCTGGGTTATAACACCATGTGATCTTGTAAGGCCTGGGTGATTAACTAGTAATATTCGCTTGTATTATTAACTAGTACTAGTTTCTATTAATGAGCCGGGATACCTAAGTCAGTATAGTGAATAGCTACGGGCTGGACAGCCGGGGTTCGATCCCAGACGGGGGCAGAGGATTTTTCCTCTAGCCTCTGCGTCCAAATCGGCTCTGGGGCCCACCCAGCCTCCTCTACAATGGGTACCGAGGTCCTTTCCCGGGGGTAAAGCCGGCCGGGGCGTGATGCTCACCACTCACCCCCATCTAGTGCCGAGGTCAAGAAAGAGAGGAGCTATACCTCCACTCACCCCAAACGCCTACATGGCGTATAGTGGGACAAACTTTTCTTTACTTTTACTGGTTTCTATTAAGAAGACCACGGCGCACAGTTAGTTCCTTGGTTAGGCATTATTTCCAAACGAGATAAATCATTAATTAGACCTTGGGATCGGATTAGAATATTGTGAAATATATACTTCAGAGCATCTGTTTTACGGAGTGTTGTCGCTGAGATTCTGTCTCTCTGTAAAATAGCTACTAAAACATGTCCATCTGTGCCAGTAGAAGAGGCGGGAGAGGCATCCTTTACGCTTGGAACTAACACTAACGCGAAGATAGAACTTCTTTGGGATTTGAAAGTACTTTACGAAATATAGGACATAGCTGTAACAAATACCTGCCTTTATAAGCAATCAATTGAGGTTCTCTTAAGTGATGACGTCATTTCCGGAACCTTGTATCGGTGTTGTTCATGGCGACTGGAGCGATCCGGCTGAATGCTTCCTCCTGAACTGCTTCAAAATAGATAACAAGAAAACCAATTTCGTTTGGATTCCTCCCCGAGGACAACGCAAACACTGGACCCTTACACTGCTAGTTTGGGCCATTCAAGCGAAAGATTCGGTTTTGCCGAAGGACGTTAGTTTTGTAGCGTGTATTGTTAGCTGCTGTGCTATTATAGGACTTAACAGCCATGAACCTCATCCATTCAGGTACCTTTGTTAAAGGAATGTAGAGGAAATTGGTTTCATTATTTTAGGAACTAGAAATTTGTTTTTCTGTCAGAAATAAAGTAATTCGTTTAATATGATAAAGAACAAAGATAATTGGTCAAAGGAGCATTAATATTTTCAACTGAGAATGACGGCAGAAAACTCGTTCCTAATTGTCAGGATTATATTACAGAACGTCTTATTCGTCGATACTGTACGAAGAACACTATCCTTAACACTCGTAGGCAAGGTTGTTATTCTTCAGGTTGCTGATGAATTGTCTTGCACAACAGTCCGACATATAATGTTCAAACCTACATCCTATAATTCCAAGCGAAAGTGTTTTGCAGCCATTCACTCCCAAACACGTCAAAGCTCCGTGACAAGATCAATTCTGACTGATACGATACCCGCGACATCTCTCGCCACTGAAGTTATGCATTTACGAACTTACAATCGATGTTTGTTAATTTGATTCAGTGCTGATTCCGGCAGAGTTCGTTACTCAGTTAGGCATATAGGAGCTTATCAAAATATATATCTAATTGCGAGCCTCCTCGTGATAGTAAATAAAAATAATCTAGTACGTAGGCCATCGATTCGTATCATTCCGTTCATATTTTACTATTCCAAATACTTTGTAAAATTGTTTTAGGCAGACATTAAATTGCTAATCGACGCAAAATCATTCACTTACACTTATTTACGGTCGTTCGTAGCTATGTAATTACGTATGATTGATTCTGTATTTCGATTTCCTACGTGTGTACCTGCCGCTGCCGGTGTTCCCGTATTTGAGGTATATTTCATTCGTAATAAAATATTCTTTTGTAAGTATATGTGTTCCAACACGTATATAATCTCTTATACACACGATTTATTTAATGAGAACATGCATTTGTGTGCATAATTAATTTAATTTTACGTTTCTTATATATTGATCGTGGCCGATTTCACTTGTGTCCACCTCCCGACTTTGTCGCCTTTGTGTTAATTTATTACAATTGTTATGATATAATAGAATATGTATTTCATTAAC